GGAGATTGAACCCAGGGCACTTTACCACTAAACTACATCCCCAATCCTTTTTTATTTTGAGACAGGATCTCTCTAAGTTGCTGAGGTTAGTCTTGAACTTAGAATCCTCCTGCGTCTATTTCCAGAGTCACAGGGATTACAGGTATGCACCCCACGCCCAGCTACTGTTGTCTCCTTCACTATTATAATCCCAAGCCTTGCATGGTGTTAAAAAGAAAATATGTTTTTAAAATAAATAACTCATTAACTAGCCTAATAAATTAATTGGTGCTTATGTCCCTTCCAGCAACACTTCTGCTTCTTTTTCTTCTGTCACTCATAATAAAATACTTCAGAATTTCCTATCTGTAAACAGCTAGGTGTGGGAGTTTCCCAAATTTACTGAAACCCAGTGATAGGTCCATAGTTTAACCACACAAATAATTTAGGAAGAGAAATTGGACCTCCCTCCCAGTTCCTTCCACCAATCACCACTGTTATAACAAATAAATATAAAAACAGAGACTGGCTTCCTGAAATGTTTACCCTACTCAAAGCCAACAGTGCACAATTAGAGGCACAGATACCCATGTGCACACATGTAAGCCACACACGCAAATACACTAGTTTAAGTCAGTGCTGCGAAGGTCAGGGTTTGAGAAAGAACTAGATGGGAGAAAAATTAGAATGGCTGGAGCCATCCCGCAAAGCTGGAGAGAAGTAAGGAATTTGCAGACACTGCCTACGCTCTGTCTGACAGGCAGCAGTGACACTCAGCAGCATGATGAGGCCCACGTGCCACCCCTAGCCAACTCCTCACCAGCTTGGGGACTGCTTGGGACAGCCCACAGTGGGTGCCCAGGGGCTGCTGGATTGGATCACTCTTCTATTTTTGGAATGGCCTATACTCCCCTCTGCTTTCTGGCTTACAAGGACAGAGCAGACCAGGATGCCTACTCAGGGAGGAAAAGACAACACATCCTCTTGACTCTTTCACTGCCAAGATGGGACCCAGGGCTCTGAGGGTAGTCTTTTCAGGCAAACATTTCTGTTCAACAGAGACGGGGCCAAATGAAAATCCCAAACCCTACTTCCTACTACAAAGCAAAAAAACCCAGTTTGGTTTCTATGCTTCTTCCTTTTATGATCCAATTCCAGGGCCCATGTTCCAGTTGACCTAAACAAAATTCTTCCAGCCAAATTGGGAAGACCTCATACTGCCCGGTTCCCAGCAGAGGCCTGAAGGGCTGAATGTGTGAGTTGAGGAGTAGTAGGGAAGGCACTGTGGAAATCAGAAACCAGGAAGGGAAGTTGCCTAGTAAAGGACTGTACTCATGAGTCCTTAAATGGGCTTCCATGTCCTACGAACAAGCTGCACCCAAAGTCCTTCATGACCCTTCCAAACCAACACAGCTATTCTTTCAGTCTTTCTTCTCATACAGACTCCCCCAAATTAGAGATTTATGGGACTTCAGAGTGCATCCAATCCAAATCTCTCCTTTTAAGGAAGAGGAAACTGAGGCTCAAGGTCATGTAGCAAAAGCAAAGCCAGGACCTGAACCTGGGTCTGCGGATTTCTGCCTAGGTCTCTGACCTGTAAATCCTACAGGGCTCTAAGCACCGTTCCCCTTCCGGGTTTTTCTCCATCTGTGACCCCCACCCTCACCCAGCCAACCCCTCCTGTCCCCCATTCCCACCTTATTGCCATCCCAACTCTGCAAAGCTCCTTGCCCACCCCAAGCTCACTGCGGAAAGGCTTACTCCACGTGCTTTCCTCCAAGACTCCCACCCACCCAATTCCTCCACCGCCTTCATCCCAGGGTTAGGAGACCCCGCCCCCGACTCCGTCCAAAATTGCACTCTCCTCCCCCGCCCGCGTCGGAGCCCGCACCGGGCCCCGCCTGCGCGGGAGGCCCCGCCCCTCGTCGTCCCCCACTTCCCCCGGCAGCTGCACTCACGCCCCGGCCCCTCTCACCGGTAAAGCCGCTTAGTGTGGAGGACCTTTGCTTCGGGCTCGCTGCTTTCCCCTGTAGGGGGGCCTTGGCTCATGGTGCCCGGGTCCGGGGGCGGCTCCCGGTCACAGGCCCCCGCCACCCACCAGTGCCTCCACCACTGCCGTCTCCGGCCTTAGCCGCAGCCGCCACCGCCGCCGGCCCTGCTCGGCCGCCATCGCTGTGAGGCGGCTGCCCGGGACAGCTCCTCCTCCGCCCGCCAAATCTCGCGATAGCAGCTCTATTGCTGCGGGCCAGTGGCCTGCTGCTCCCAAATCTCGCGGAAATCGTTTTCCCTCCCGGGAAGTTACCAGAACTCACTCTGGGCAGCATGGCCTCTTTCCGGCTTCTCCCAGCCCTTGAGAAAAACTTTATTGGCAAAGCTGCCGGAGAAGAGACAACGAAGCCAGTGAGGCGGCTGAAGCTGAGCTGGATCTGGGGAGGTGGACTCCCAGCTGGGAGAGTGACTCTGCTGTGTCCAGCAGGGGTCATTAATCCATCCTTGTGCCTCTTAACCCCTCCCCATTTGAACCGAGCCTCCTTCATATTACTGATTACAATGATTCCAACCCCCTTCCCCCAGTGACATGGACAAAATTAGGTGTTTGTGAAAGTTTCCTTGGAGAGGTCGAGCATCATGTAGAGCTAAGGCTTTGGAAGATATGGCTATTGTAGAAGCGCCTCGACCTTTCATTGTCCCCTGCCAAAGATTCCCAGCTTGCAAATCCTCTCACCAACCCAGCAAACATTCATTGAACACCCGCTGTCTTCCAACAGCATGCTGGGTTCTGGGCACACAGATGAGCTAGCTAGACCCTGTCCCCGCCCTCACAAAGCTCCAATGACCTCAGGGATAAGATGATATAGACATGAGAAGTCAGCCCGGCCAGGTGGTGCACACCTGTAATCCCAGCGATTCAGGAAGGTGAAGCAGGAGTACAGCAAATTCGAGGCCAGCCTCAGCAATTAAGGCCCTGAGCAATTTAGAAGACCCTGTCTCAAGTGACCCACGCCTGTAATCCCAACGGTTTGGGATTATGAGGCAAGAAGTTCAAAGCCAGCCTCAACAACTTAGCAAGACAAGACCCTGTCTCTAAATAAAATACAAAAAAAAAGGCTAGGGATGTAACTCAGTGATTAAGTACCCCTGGGTTCAATACCTGATACCCCCCCAAAAAAAAAGAGAGAGAGAAAGAATTAGAAGCCATTTCCTTATATTTCTGCCCCTACTCCCCATCCTCTCATTAGAAAGATCAACTCTCAGCTCCATATGTACCTCAGTAGAAAAGCATTTGCCTAACATGAGAGGCCCTGAGTTCACACACACAAAAAAAGAAAGATCAGCTCCTATCTAACTTGAATGGCTAGTGCTTTCTAACCCTTAAGCCTAAGCCAAGAAGCAAGGTGTTTGGGGGCCTATGTACACATTATAATGGGAATATAAATCCCTGTTCTACCGTTATACCCCTGGCTGCAGGCACTAATGCTTTCCATTCCTGAAACAGCCTTAAGTCTCTCCCACCTACTGGCCTTTCACTTGTGCTTCTTCTGCCTGGAACAATTATATACTCTGATTTCTCACTGGGTTTAGCTCAAGTGTTACTTTATCAAAGACGTTTTCCCCATAGACATAGTCTTACTGATTTAGTTGTGAGGCTGGCCTCAAACTTGCGTTCCTTCTGCCTCGCCTCCGGGATCACTTGGGATTACACACATGCACTACAATGCCTGGCTGGGCCTTCTTTATTGTCTGTTACCCCAATAGAAGATAAGCTCAAGGGCAGAGACTTTGACTGTCATCTTCTTCTCCTCTGTAGAATAGTACATAGCTAATAATAGTTGCTTAATAAACATCTGTTGAATGAATAAATGTGCAGATTGTTTTCTAGATATCCTACACCAAGCATGCTTTGGTTCATGAATTCATTCTCCCACACACACATACACCTCCTGCTTTCCTGAGCTGGGAGCTCTTACACCTCTGCCCCAGGTGTTTAGAACACACACTTACTTCTATGCCCAGCTGTACCCCCATTTTCAGAAAGGATGACGTCTTCCTTTAATGCCTTTTCTGTCGGCAGATTTAGCTGGGCGTGTCCTGCCCCTTTAATCTGGGCCCCACCTGCTCTGGTCAGACAGGTTTGGAGACACAGGTAAAGGGAGGAGAGACAGAAATACTTGCAGAGCCAGCAGAGAGCTGGGCAGCTCTTTCCCGGATGCTGGGGACCCTCCGTCTCTCCCAGATGAAAAGTAAGAGGGTGTTATGGATCCAATGGGCAAGGGCAAGAGGGTTCCTGAGGAGGTGAGGGAGGGGATTTAGCCTTATCCAGAAACAGTGAGATGGTGGGCGGTAGGGAAAGGAGAAAGACAGGAAAGCAACATGGGACACAGCCATGTTCAGACCTAAACATTAGAATGGATAAACCCAGGCCACGTGGATCAGCGAGGGGGGCTAGCAAGGAGTTTGGAAATTGACCAACACCTAGGTTGGAGATGAAAGGACCCAGTGCCCTGCTACTGCCACTTCTCAGGCCAGATTTGTCAGCAAGTCACTGGTATCAGGTATCAGGAGGGTTCCAGGCAGGGATCTGCAGGGAGAAGGGGAGGTGGGATGGTGGAGGGGCAGCCTCTCCGTTTGGGGGAAGATCCTTGGTGGGAAAGAAACTCTTGCAAAGTTCGCAACTCCGCCTCTTCCTGGTGTTCCTGCACTAGGGTGGCCATGACTCCAGGGATTGTGGAGGGGGTAGAAGGCGTGGGTGGAGCTAAGGTCACAGCTGCCAGGGCCTGTGCCCCCTGACTCACCCAGTCCTGCTGGATGACATTTGATGTTGAAAGGGTGTCTCCATTTCAGCTGCTCACTACCCTTCCACCTCCCTCTTGTTTCAACACCTTCCTCCGCACTGAGTTTTCCCTAAGTCCCAGAAGGGGCCAGAGTCCGAGAGGCCAGCTGCCCGGGAAAGCTCCAGATCTGACACTGTCTAGAGGACAGGGCCTTCTGACAGAGCTTTCCTCTGCTCCCTCCAGGATGATCTTGTGGTAGACCCCAGAACTGAGGCCCCAGGATGGCAGAACCTGAGACCCTGTCCCTGCTGGAATTGAAGGGGCCTGAGACGCCCAAGAGCCCACCTCAGGCTTTGGTCCCCAATGGCCGGCAGCCAGAAGGGGAATGTGGAACCGAGTCCCCTGGAGCTGAGTCCCTCAGAGCCGAGTCTGCAGTTGGCTCTCCCATGGCCAGAGATGGAACTGAAGATGGTCTAGACAGTACAGTAAGTGAGGCTGCCACCTTGCCCTGGGGGACTGAACCCCAGCCCAGTGCCCCGTTCCCGGATCCCCCTGGCTGGAAGGTCATCGAACCAGAGCCTCTGGAGTCAGAGCCACTTACCAAGCCAGAGGAGCCACCTGACGATGATGCCAACCTGCTCCCTGAAAAGGCGGCCCGGGCCTTTGTGCCCATCGACTTACAGTGCATTGAGAAGCGGCCCCAGGAGGACCTCATTGTGCACTGTGAGGCGAGCGAGGGCAAGCGCCAGGCCTTCCTGCCCACCCGGGCCACCCATCCAGAGCCCCTTGAGCGAAAGTGGGCTGAGGCCATTGTGAGGCCGCCTGGCCGATCCTGTGGGGGCTGCGGGAGCTGTGGAGGCCGCGAGGGGATAAGGGCGGTGGCCTCCGTGGGAGCGGCCCTCATCCTCTTCCCCTGCCTTCTGTATGGGGCCTATGCCTTCCTGCCCTTTGATGCCCCACGGCTGCCCACCCTGAGTTCCCGCCTGGTCTACACACTGCGCTGCGGGGTCTTTGCCACCTTCCCCATTGTGCTGGGTGAGTCGGGGCCCTGGGACAAGGGACATCCAGGAAGTGGACTTGAGTGGGAAGAGCCTGCCTGGCTTGGGAGGAGGGTTTCCCTTCATTCAGCCTGAAATCACGATCCTCCTGGCTCAGCCTCCTGAGTAGTGGGGACCATAGGTGGGCTCCACCCTCAGCCTTCCATACCTGCTGTTCTGTACGTCCTCCTCCTTTCACCTCTCCCACTGTGCAGAGCCCAGGCCCCTGAGCCCTCTCCTATGAGCCTTCCCGCCTTTAGCTCCTTCCTCCTGCCCACTCTGCCCCGTGTGCTTCCCCACCCACCCAGGGCTCCTGGTGTACGGGCTGAGCCTGTTGTGCTTTTCCGCCCTCCGGCCCTTTGGAGAGCCCAGGCGAGAGGTGGAGATCCACCGGCGGTACGTGGCCCAGTCCGTCCAGCTCTTCATCCTGTACTTCTTCAACCTGGCCGTGCTGTCCACCTACCTGCCCCAGGACACCCTCAAGCTGCTCCCTCTGCTCACTGGTCTCTTTGCCATCTCCCGGTGAGTAGGGGTGAGCTTGCGGGGGGGGGGGGGGATGCTACAAGAGCCAGGCACCGAATGTCTGTCTGGAAAGCTAGGGTCACGGGCTTCCTGGATTCTATAGCAGCCCAGATGTACACCCTGGAGAGATGAATCACTTTTTCTCTCTTTTTAAGTGGACTTAAACACATTAAATTAAATTATTTAATTAATTTATTATTTATTGGTACTGGGGATTGAACCCAGGGGTGCTTAACCATTGAGCCACATCTCCTGTCCTTTTTATATTTTGTGAGATGGGGTCTCCCTAAGTTGCTTAGGGCCTCGATAAATTGCTGGAGCTGGCTTTGAACTTGCGATCCTCCTGCCTTAGCCTCCCACTGGAAGATCCTCTGGGAGTAGAGGCGTATGCCACCATGCTCTGCCTAATTTTCTTTATTTGTGGTAGTACGGATTGAACCCAGGGCATCCCACATGCTAAGCAAGTGCTTTACCATTGAGCTCTACCCCCAGCCCTTTTTATTTTTTATTTTTTTATTTTGAGACAAGGTCTTACTAAATTGCCCAGGCTGGCCTTGAAATCATGATCCTCCTGGTTCAGCCTCCTGAGCAGTGGGCGCTCACCACCATGCCCAGCCTCGGGTGTTGGTTAGACCAGTGCAGCCACTCCAGGACTCTGCTGTGGCACTCCAGTCAGGCAGCTTAAATCTTTAGCCTCGAGTGGAACACCAAATGCTCAATTCTTTTTAAAGCAATCTGTTTCCATTTTTAAAGGTCCTAATTGTTAGAAAGTTCTTTATACAGTGCTGTGCCAAAAACTTCTGCCCTGAGTGTGACCTCCAAAATTGTCCAGGACAAATTCCAATATTTAACAATAGCTCTCAATTCCTCCCACTGTCTCCGAATGACCCTGTTCCCTTCACTGACCTGGATCCTTCTCTCTGGGCAGGAAATTCTCCTGCTTATCAATGAGGAGGGACCTTGGTCAAAGGTACAATTTGTCCTTTTCATAAAAAGTGAGGCCACGCGAACTTTCACGCAGCCTCGTTACCCTGAATTTCATTCAGAGTTGCAGTCACTTGAAATCCTTAAGGGTGTTTTTGTTGTTATTGTCCTAGCGATTAAACACTCTACTACTGAGCTACTCCCCCAGTCCTGAGGATGTTTCCACGTGAACTCCTGTTAACCCAGAAGGCACCTTTGAATTTCTGAACCCAAATGAAAGTCATGACATCCTCTCCTGATACATCTCTTCTGCTGCTTTCAAGACAGGATGCCCGGTAGCTGAAACTGCTAAAATAGTCTTCCTGTTGAGCTAAAATTAGTCTTCTCACCACTTCTTCTTCTTTTCAGTTGTAGATGGACACAGTACCTTTATTTTATTTATTTTTTGTGTGTGGTGGTGAGGATTGAACCCAGTGCTTCACGTGTGCGAGGCAAGCGCCCCGCCACTGAGCCCCAGCCCCAGCCCCAGTCTTCTCGCCACTTCTGATTGTCGGCTGGCGTTCAGCTGTCCCACCAGCCTCCTGACCCTCATGCAGCCTTGCATTTTCTTCCAGTAGATTTCCCTAAGATAAATATATTCCCTCTCATGTAACTCAACTTCCCATCTCTGACCCTTGGGAATACTGGTCTCAGAAACTGGTTTAGGCTGGGCACGGTGGTGCACACCTGTTATCCCAGCAGCTCAGGAGGCTGAGGAGGAGGATTACAAGTTCAAAGCCAGCCTCAGCAATTTAGCAAGGCCCTGTCTCAAAATAATAATAATAATAATAATAATAATAATAATAATAATAATAATAATAAAATAAGAAGGGCCTGTAATCCCAGCAGCTCAGGAGGCTGAGGCAGAAGGACTGCAAGTTCAAAGCCAGTCCCAGCAAAAGCCAGGTGCTAAGCACTCAGTGAGACCCTGTCTCTAAATAAAATTCAAAATAGGGCTGGGGATGTGGCTCAGGGGTTAAGCCCTGCTGGGTTCAATCACTGGTACCAAAGGGGAAAAAAAAAGGAAGTTGGCTTAAGCAGTAAGAATCATCAGGAAACTAAATGAAAAGTAAGTCATTGTGTGGTCCAGGCTTCCCATTCTACAGAGAGGAAATCACAAACAGATCGCAGGAAAAGAGTTGCTCAAGTTGGTTAGAACAGCGCAGGACTAGGATCCTGGCCCTTTTCCTCTTCCATCCAGAGTGCATCCTTTTCTATTATGAGAAAGTTCTTTAAGCATCTTGTATCTCAGTTTCATCATCTAGAAAATGGGATTGTGAGGATTAAATGAATTCATGTAGAGAGCTTGAAACAATCTGGAGCTTGGTTCGGACTCGCTAAATGTGAAGTCTAATGCCAGCTGCCTCCTAGTGTAGTAGATGGGAATCATCTTCTTTCCTTTTTACTTAAAAGGAACAAGAACGTGTAAATTTTGAAATACATCATTCTTCACACATTAAGAGGAAGTTGTTCTTTCCTACCCAATTGAGGAAGTGCTTTTTTCACTTGTTTGTTTGTTCTTTGTTTTGTTTTTTGTACTGGGGATCAAATCCAGAGGTGCTTAACCACTGAGCCACATTCCCCGCAATTTTCTTTTTTAATATTTTATTTTGAGACAGGGTCTCACTAAGTTGCTCAGAGTCTGGCTAAGTTGCTGAGGCTGGCTTTGAACTCCCAATCCTCCTAGCCTCAGCCTCCCAAGCCACTGGGATTACAGGCATGTACCACCATGCCCAGCTGAGAAAGTGTGTATTTTGAGTGGATATTCCAAGAGGGCAAATTTTGTTGTGAATGATCTATCCCTCTTGACTTCAAGCCCTTCCTTATTGTCCTCTTTTGCTTCTCTAACACATTGGACGAGGAAGTAATAAACAGCCTTAGGTTCAGATCATAGCTTTGCTATTTCCCAGCTGTTAACTTGGAGCCCTGGGGAATCTTAGTTGCTTCATCTGCAAAAGGATAAATACAATCAAACACACTGCAGCTGTAAAAGAATGAGGAAACTGTTTATATACTGATATAAAATGATCCCCAAGATATATAAAAGGAGAAAAATCAACATACTAGCAACCTTACAGGTGGGCGCACACCTGTAATTCCAGAGGCTCAGGAGGCTGAGGTCAGAAGATCACAAGCTCAAGACCAGCCTCAGCAATTTAGTGAGGGCCTAAGCAACTAAGACCCAATCTCAAAATGAAAATAAAACAGTGCTAGGGATGTAGCTCAGTGGTAAAGCACCCCTGGGTTCAATTCCTATTACAAAAAAAAAAAAAAAGGAAAAAGAGAACTTTTTGTTCAGACTTGGGCTGTAAAGTGCTTGTGTAGTACACACAGGGTTCTGAGTTTGAATCCCAGCACTACATACAAACTTTCTGTTGTATGTGTATAAAAATCACTCAGTGCACAAGAAGCCATAATTAATTGGATACTTAGGGTGGGAGTCAGGGAGGAAAATAGGATGGGAACCATTGAATTTTTTTTTTTTTTTTTTTTGGTACTGGGGATTGAACCCACAGGCACTCAACCAGGGAGCCACATCCTCAGCCCTTTTTTGTGTTTTAGTTAAAGACAGGGTCTCACGGAGTTGCTTGGTGCCTCCCTAAGTGACTCATTGAATCTTGAACCATGTGAATGTATATTGCCCACTCAAAAATTTTTATTGAAATTTGGAAAGTAACTGAAAGCAACTCAGAGGGATGCAGGAAATCAAAATTAAACAGTGCACTTGAATTAGCCCTGTTCCTGGCAGAAAACCCCCACCTGCCTTCTTCCTCTAGTCTTCCGATGTCAGCTATTGCCACCTGGCTGACATGCCAGACCCTTGCCATCCCCCTGCAGGCTGATATACTGGCTGACCTTCGCCGTGGGACGCTCCTTCCGAGGCTTCGGCTACGGCCTGACGTTCCTGCCGCTGCTGGCCATGCTGGTGTGGAACCTCTACTACATGTTCGTGGTGGAGCCAGAGCGCATGCTCACTGCCTCCGAGAGCCGCCTGGACTACCCCGACCACGCCCGCTCCGTCTCCGACTACAGGCCACGGCCCTGGGGCTGAGCGAGCAGGCCTCGCCGTGGGCTCGCATGCTTTTCTGAACCGAGCTACGGGCCTGGGCTTTGTCCCCAGCCCTGGGACCTGCTGCCCCGTAGGGATATCATTCCATCACGGCCTGGATTGACCCTTGCTCCCTCTTAGCTGCTGTTGTCCTTCACCTCTGAGGCTTGGCACCACCATAAAGGAGGGACTTTTCTTTCAGGGAAAGAGGTGGACAGCCTTGTCCCTTGAGGATGCTGAGGACACATGGTCCAGAGGCATGGTTCCTTCCTGAACAATCTCCTACTGCCATTAGGGCTCCCTAAGGCTGGACTCTGTCCCGCTCCCCAGCTCTGTGAGGCAGGAGGCAGAGCCAGAGCCAAACCCGGACTCTTTCTGTGCCAGCTGGACCATCAGAGGAACTTAAGGAGAATGGAGAAACTGCTGTGCCCAAGGAAGAGGCTGCATCAGATCAAATGAGGACTTTCACATTTGGTGAAATTCTTGGGGTCCTGGGTTTGGGACTGGTCTTAAAGGCTTGTTAGTCTCAAGACTATTCTAGCCGCCCCCATGCAGAGCTACTGCCTCCTCCCTTACAACCTATGTACACCTCCAAACATTCCAGATGTCACACTTCCCATGGGAAGAGGGGTCAGGGAAATCTGGCTCCCAAGAGGGGTGTGTGTACCCACATGTGTGGTGGCCGGGGAGTGGTTGGAAGGCACAATGGTTAATGTTAACCCAGTGCAAGTGTTTGTTTATGTGTGTGTGAGAGACAGAGAGAGAGAGAGAGAGAGAATAAATTACCACCCCTGCATTGGCTCTTTCTTCCTGTTTGTCCCTCCCCTGCCCAATCCCAGGTATCCCTTCCTTATTTGATTCAGACAGCACCAGAAACCTTCTGGGTCCACCTGGTACGCAGCTGGCAGAAGCTGTGGTTCCACATGGAGGGAGAGAACCAGGTCTGGTGGAAATGGGGTCTCAAATAAAGTTATCTTCCAAACCCATCTCTTAGCCCTCCCACTCCCTGAAACCAGCCCCAAGTGAACCCCACAATATCAACATGCTGAGAGACTGGAACCTTGTAGAAAAAGATAAGTCTTATTTCGTACCCTCCAGGGTCACTCTTAGTTTAACAAAACTTTGAGTGTCAACCAAGAAGTAGGAATGACACAAGTAAACACCACCAAGGGGACCTTTTAGAAATAACACTGACTCCAATCCCAGGAAGTGGAGGTTCGTTTCTGAAGTTCTGCAGAAAAGTGCCATGGGAGGGGACGGGCCAGCTGGAACATTGGCCCTCCAACCGCCAGCAGTCTGAGGAGGCACAGCAAGGCAGGTCCAGGAGGGTCCTTCCCTCCAGACAGTGAGTCTCAATTTATGGACTGGTACTCTGAGTGCTGTTTGTGGCGCAGCAGCAGGATGAGACCTCCCCCCAGCAACAAGAGCCCTGGAGCACCCAGGGCCACTGCCACGATTCCTAGGATTAGCGGGGACAGGGCATCCACAGGAGGGGAGCCCATACCCAGAAGCATTGACCTAGAGCAAGAGAGTGAGAGAGAAGTTCGTGGGTGAGGAGGCCAGGCTGGGAGGCAGCCCTCCTCCACTTCAACACCCCCGCCCCCGCAGTCCCAGTTCGCGCTCTCACCAGCTCAGGTAGTGTTGGTCCCAGTAGCCAGGGCCCGTGGGAGCCCCAAATGTCAGGTTGAAGGAACAGAAGTTGCTCTGCGACCCGAAGAAGGCTTGGACAATGGGTGACTGGGGAAGGGAGTACACCAAGCTGGGGCGAAGAGGAGAAGCCTGGCAGGGCAGGGCTGACTCTCGGCTCCTCTGCTTCTGGGAGAAAGCCACTGGTCGCCACTGCATGAAGCCAGACGGGAGGGAGCCCCACAGCAGCTGGTCCACCTGAGGAGAAGGGCAAGCAAGGCAGGGTGAAGAGGAGGCCTGTGCCAGACGGACCCTTGTCCTCCCTGCCTCTCTCAGTCTCCATCTGTCACTAGCAAAGAGCGTGCTAAGAGCAGCAGAATCCCGAGTCCTGGGCTCGGTTCTAGAACTGACAGGCTGTCTGCACCAGAGCCCTGGTCTCTCTTCTGAAGGGGACTTGGCTGGATGAGCACCGGGTCCTGTTCCGGCCCTGCAGATCGGCACCAAGCTCCCTCCCCTGCAACCGCAGGCCGTCTGGAGAGCTTGAGTCACACTGCACTACCTTTTGGCTGTCCCCCTTGAGGGTAGAGACTGAGGAGGATTCAAAGTGCCCAGTACTTAAAGCCTCCAGAGAAAGTTGCCAACTGATAAATAGTTGAACAACTCTGAGGTCCTCACAGGGTCCTGCCTACGTTCCCACCCAACTGCCTCTTCCTTGGAAGTCTGACCTGGAAGACAGCAGGTGCGTATTCATCGTCGATGGAGTGCTGCTCCCGCATTGAGGGACACTCGGGCCTCTGCCCCACAGTGACTACTTCCAGCCCAAACAGGGAGTGGTTTCCTCGGGGAGAAGCCCCAACCAGGGCTACTTCTAGCTGGCAGGTGTCTGCAGTGTGCAGGAGGCGAGGGGGTTGGGCAGGTCGTCCAGAGCTGGAAAAGGCCTGGACCTAGGAAAGGGGAGGGATAGAGGGGTGGGACGATGGCCCCATACTTGTGCTTAAGGGTTTCCCCATCACGAACTCTCACCTCATAAACCAGTCCTCCGAGTTCCTTCTCTTTCCTCACACCCTTACCTTGAAGGCCAGACTGCCATTGGCAAAAGCCCCGGTAGGGTCGTTCACAGGGTGGCCTTGGAATGTGGCACTCAGGCTGGCAGGATCCAGTGAGTCAGTGATGTTGTTCCAGGAGAACTCGGCCAAGGAGTACGGAGGATACGGTTTTCCCAGGGGCTCTGCCGCCACATCCAACGTGTTGGTGCCGTCGAACTCGAGCAGCTGGGGGTGGGTGGTGGAGCTGGGTTCGCCACAGTCTAGCTTTCTCCTAAGTCACCTGTCCCGATCCATACCCACCCCCAAGCTCCCATGGCAGAGCCTGTCCCCAGTCCTCAATCCCTTCCTCTAGTTGGGAGGAGCCCCCTCCTCTGTGCCCTTCACCTCGGTCTCCCCCACCTCCTCACCCTGGTGAAGATAAGGGCAGAAGAAAACTGGACGCTGTCCTCCGGGAGAACCCTCAGGCCCCCATCAGGCTCAGGGGACAGCAGGCGACTCCAGCTGACGTTAAGGACACTGTGGGGGGTGTTGGTGGCCACCAGCACCACTGCTGGAGGCCCGAGGCTGCTCCACACATAGTGCAGGGTGGAGTTGGCGCCCACTGCCCGGATGTGAAGCAGGCTCTGGGGGAGGCCTGGCCAGCAGGGGATGACCTCCAGAGACACCTGGAAATTGGAGGAGGGGAGGGTGGAGGGGACAGACCAGGGAGAGACTCAGGCAAAGACAAACTTGAGGGAGGGGAGAGGGGCTTGGAGGACAATTCTGGGGAAATCACGGGCAGTGAGAGCCTAGGAGAGGAATGGACGTGAGCCCAGGGAACCGTGGAGAGAGGGCAGAGCAGGCTGAGCAAGACCCGACGGGAGGAGGGCAGGGCCCAGCCGAGGAATACAGAAATCCCACACTTCCTGGACCTGGGCTACCCCTCCACCCACTCCACAGTCCTTTCCCATGAGCCAGGGATGCCCCCACCTCCTCCAGGCTCAAGAACACTTCTCTCTGCAGTCACTCTCCACCCCTTGGGTGCCCCACACTCCAGCCACCCTGGAAAGGCAGCATTTCCTGACACCTCCATTGCTCTAGTCCCCAAGTCCTCACCTGGCGGGTCTCCCCTCCCAGAAGGCCAAGCGGAGCTGTGCACAGGAGACTCAAGAGAAGCAGGGAGCTGGGGGCATGGGGACCCCAACCCCAGTGGGGCTCCCCACAGCCGCACATGCAGGTGGCAGCAAATTCAGTTGGTGGAAGACACTGGAAAGTCATGTGACTCGGATTCAGCTGATCCCTTTAGAGGGTGGGGCCGGCTGCTGCACCAGTTCTTAAAGGGACCGCCTCCCTTAACCCAGATTCCAGATGCATTGGAACAGGATCAGAGAAAACATCATCCCCAAATGGAGTCGGCAAGCACAACATTCCAGCTCTTGTGTGCAGACGCACTCCTAGCCTCTCCTACCCGGTCAGTCCCACTCAACAGTTATTTGTAATGAGCGTGATGTCTGGATTCAAGATACAAAAGGGATCTGAATAATGACTGTGGTAGAAAGGTCCAGAGAAGAACGCAAAGAATTTCTGTGAGATGGAGTACCCCAGAGGGCTTTTTTCAACCTAATATTTATTGAACACTGAGGTATGCATCCTGGAAGAATTCACAATTGTATTGAGAAGATACCTGAAGAAAGAAGATAGGAAAGCAATACATTTATTGGTCAAGAGGGAAATCACACCTGGCCAAATGCATGCTTTTCGATGTTTTTGCTTAATTTTAAATCATTATTTATTTATTCATTTATGGGTATGGGTGCACTTGACCACTGAGCCACATCCCAAGCCCTTTTTATATTTTATTTTGAGACATGATCCTGCTAAATTCCTTAGGGCCTCACTAAGTTGCTGAGGCTGGCTTTAAACTTGCCATCCTCCTGCCTCAGCCTCCCCAGCTGCTGGATTATGGGTGTGCGCCACCATGCCCAGCAACCTTGAGTTATTTTGATTAATAAATGCACATAGTACAAAATTTGAAAGGTACAGTAAACTGGAGCCTACTGAGACAATCACCACTCACCATTCCCAGTTTGTCTTTCCCTCCCACCATCCCCCCCTTCCCTTCCTATCTTATTCTTCCTCTCTCTCTCCTTGTTTCTGTGTTTCTGGAGATTTCTTTCTGTGCTTCGGGAGATGGATCTCAAGGGCTTGTACATGCTAGATACCTGCTTTACCACTAAAGTACATACCCAGTGCCCCCCCTACTTTTTGGGGTGTACTGGGAATTGAACTCAGGAGCACTCAACCACTGAGCCACATCCTCAGCCCAATTTTGTTTCCTTTTTTTTTTTTTTT